GGTTTTTCTCCGGTACGGGGAACCGAACTCAGGACCTTGCGCTTGCCAGGCAGGCGCTTTTGCCGCTGAGCTAAATCCCCAGCCCCTAAATTAATTTTTTAAAGAATTGAGAAAAAATATATTAAAGTGTAATTATGTTTGCCAATTCAATCTTTATCCTTGGTTCCCCAAGCAATCCATAATTTTTATTAAGTTTTTACTCAATAATTTTTGTATGTCTTTATAGGAATCCAGTTGGTGGAAGAATTCAGCTGCTTCTTGCCACTGTAATAGCTCTTTTCCCATTTATTTCATGGGTCTACATATACATAAACAAAGAGATGCGGTCTTCCTGGCCAACACACTGCAAATCAGTTATTTAAATGGACCCAAGAATGGTGTGTTCTAAAAATGACAGTGTTCAATTTCTCATAAACCTTGGTGTAACAGAACAGTTTCCCAGTTTATTTCAGGTAGTATGAGCTGATACAAGAGATGATCTAAAAACAAGAAATTTGTAAAAGGTCTTGAGAACTTTTTAAGACTACCTATAATACACTGTAAGACCGGACAGGACATGTAAGAATGAAGTCTGATGCTCTCTGGCTGCCTTCCCTAAAGGGTACTGTGCTACAATGTAGTCAAAAGGCACAAGAGTGAAAGTTAAGAAATCTGACTTTTTCCAGGCACAATGGCACATCCCTGATAGTCATTAGCTACTCAGAAGGCTGAGGCAGGAGGACCACTTGAGCCCCGGGGTTTGCGGCCAACCTGGGCAACACAGCAAGGCCTCAAGATAAATAAAGCATAAAAATAAATTCATTCTCTATGTGACTTGGGCAAATATACTGTATAAACCTTCTGGGAGTTATTTTCTTATCTATAAAATGGAATACCAGATCTGCTACTTACTTACTCAGTTGCTACCATCAAAGTAGAAATGAAAGTACTCTGAAAATATAAAGTACCTGCAAATTACAAAGGCTGCACATGATTAAAACTGAGGAGCACTGAACTACAAGTAGGTTCCAGAGAGGCCTATTGCCCTAGACTAATCTCATGATACAGAAGCAGTTCAGTGGCAGAAGTGAAACTTAACCAAATCAACCTTAAACCAAATCAACCACTGTGTCTTGGAAAAAAAGGAAGTTGGGTGGAGAAAGGAATTTGGAACCAATCAAGAAGGAAAGAGAAAATATTAATTACTCATGATTAACTTCTCATTATTCTGAGAAATAAGGCCAAAAGGTCCACTTTATTTTAAATGAATGTCTAAAGTGACCCTAGGGAGGAGAGCAGTTTTTAAAGCTGTGCTCTCCCATATAAGAGCCAATAGCTGCACACTGTTTTTGAGCACTTCAAACGTGGCTAGGGTGATTGAGAAAATAAATTTTCAATGTTCTCCATTTTCATTTTTAAAACGATATTCAATTATTAGAAAATATTTAAGTGTGCCTGGAACAACTTGGGCACATGAATCTACTTTTTCAGCTGCAACTTTTGATATCAACATGCAATCAAGTCTTCGCAACGATGATTTAAGGTTCAAACAAGTGGGCCATTAAGTATAAAACGCACATCAGAATTTAAAGAAATTGCACAGATGGAATGTAAACTATTTTTATAATGATCTCATGTTGAAAAGATATCTTAATATATATTGAATAAAATACTATTAAAACTAATTCATCTCTTTCTAGTTTTTAAAAATAACTGCTTGAATGTTATTTATGTGATTCACACTGCTTTTCCGTGAGATGTCTGCACTGCAAATTTTTTACATATGCTAGCCTTGAACTCTGTACGCAGATACTGTTTTCATAAGGTTTAGGAAATAGTTAAAAAGAATTAGTAAGCCAGGATCCTAGCACTCAGGGAGGCTGAGGCAAGAGGACAGAAATTTTGGGCCAAGTTTGTCACTTAGCAAGACCCGTTCTTAAAGTAAATAATTTTTAAAAGTCTGGGGCGGGGGCTGGGGATTTAGCTCAGCGGCAAAGCGCCTGCCTGGCAAGCGCAAGGTCGTGAGTTCGGTTCCCGGTACCGGAGAAAAACCAAAAAAAAAAAAAAAAAAAAAAAAAAAAAAAAAAAAAGTCTGGGGCTATAGCTTGGTGTAAAGGTCCTGAGTTCAATCCTCAGTATTAGGGAAAAAGAAAGTACCTACAACATGTCAAGAGAGTGAGAATGACTTTGACAGTTTTTTTATACCATTTAATACAATGATAAATATTCTATAAATATTTGTTAAGGAGGTAGGCATGTTTTTTGTTTTGGACACAGCGGCCACTGGAGTCAAATAGCTCTATTAAGGAAAGACATTCTTGTTGCTATTAAAGCAGTATAATTTGAGTCAGTAAAATACATGTAAAGGATTTGAGTTTCCTAGCTTCCATCTAGCTCATGTTACCTATGGGTTTTATACCTCCTTAGAATTAGCTATTAAAGTCATACACAAAGAAAGGAACTCACTGGCAAATTCTGTAAGCCCTACCCATTCTCCAAGTCGTCCTTAATTCTGTGCTGAAATGACAGCAATGTTCAAGTTATACTTTCATAGTATTTGCATTTCCCCTATGAGACTATACATTCTGTGAATATACATAGTACTTTTGCATCTCCAGAGTTAAGCATATAAAAGATATTTTTAGTACAGTACTCCATTTTAAGAGTTTTTAGTAAGAAAAACGTTTTAAATCATCTTAGACTCTATTTCTGTATTGAATTAACAGTAAACTTAATATTTCAATTCTTAATGTGTCTCCCCCATCCACAGCTGTTTTTGTTCCCATTATTCCTCATCTACTTCAGCCCCTCACTGTCTACTGCTTGGACTGACACATACCTCTAGTCATAAATTCCTCAGCTCAGGAACCAGAGAGCTCCGCATTAAGTGAAATTCTTTTAGCTCACCATTCAAGGCCCTCCACAGCACAGCACTTGTCTATATGCTTATGCTTTTTCACTATACCCCAAATAGCTTTGGGTTGAATCCTCATAGCATTCCTTGCTGCTCCTAAATTCTGCAGATCCTTTGATGCCTCTGCTTCTTTTCTACTTGAAATGTTCTTCCCCACTTTCTTAAACCATTTGTCTTCCTTTCTCAAACCATCTCTAATCCCTTCAAATAATTTAAACCTCCACATTCCAAGTCTTTTCAAATGACAGCCAATTTCACACATCTGTTATCTCTTTCATTGACAGTAAGATCTGTGATTACAGGAACTCATTAATAATTCATCTCTGTGCCCAGCTGCATGTGGGCCTCATAGATACGTAGGTCCTAATCCCTCAAAGCTATGTTGCCTCATATTACAAAATGGACCCTGCAGATGTGATTAAGGATCTAGAGGAGAAATTGCCTGGGTTATCCAGGTGGGCCTTAATAATCACAAGTGTACTTAGTGAGACAGGGAGGTGTAACTGTGCCTAAGGAAAGGTGATGTGAAACCAAGCAGAGAGATTTAAAGTTGCTACTTCTACTGTTGACTGAAAAGGTAAGAGGAAGGAGGCCCGGGAGTCAAGGAACATGAGTACAGCTCAAGAGGCTGGAAAAGACAAGGAGAGATTTCACCTGGAACTTCCTAAGGGACCATGGCTGTGCCAACACCTTGGTTTCAGCCTGGTGAAAGTGAGTCCACCCTTCTGGCCTCCAGAACTATAATGGACACATAATGAAAATAATCAAGTGTGTGGGAATTTGTTACAGTAGCCAGAGAACACAAATATACCTTTATATCCCTATAGTACCTAGGTAGTCAGTAGGCACACTTGTGTTGACTACTGTTTTAGTTTTAGGCCCTGAATCAAACTTTCTTTCCCTATTTGCTGTCAGGTCTTTCTGCAAATAAGCTTTGGCATACGTGGCAACTGAGTTAAACATCACCATTTGTCTATGAAGAGTCAAGGGTAAATTATCTACTGTTGTCTCATCGTGCCCTGGTGGTGGTCCCAACAGACCATGGTAGCAGGCACACAGGCACACTGGCAGCCCTCCATTGGTTAGGATCACAAGAGGACCACGTGACTTCTCTGAAGGATATTCTTAGAAAGATGCAGGCCCCAGACGTTCACTTTTCAAGTAACCAATAGGTCAAAGTTTTCATTCACAAAATGGCAATGTAAGCCCATAAAGTCCAAGTGTAGGTATTCGGAGCAAAACATGTCCAAAGCTCATTTATACCACAAAACAAACAGAAAAAGCTAACCAGAGCTTTATTTTTTATTATGTATTTTAAGTTAGACAGCTAACATGAATACATTCTCTAGTATAAACCAAATCCAAAATTTTTTTAGGTAAAGACAACTAACATCCCCTATTGGGACTAGATTCTCCCACTGCAGTCTCCTCTCATTTTTTCTAACTTTCAGGAATGAGTGTATCATCCAGAAGTGCAATTTCTGAATATTTTATCAACTTACTCTGAAGCCATAAACACATTTGGTTATGCAAGAAGAATACAAAACAATGAAGTTCAGAATATTTATTTTTTGTTTTCATTCTTCTGTGGTTGGGACAAGCACAAAGCAAAGTCATTCTCTTTCTATAAAGGAAAACAAGGTAAATCAGACTACAAGGAGTTCCTTCTTATAATTCATAATTCTGTCCGGAACTCTGCCTCTCCCTTTCAACAGCATTTTGTCAGAGTAGACATGAATTGTGCCAAAAGCTTGGCTGTCCGGAGCTGTTTCAATAACTCCTTCTAGGTCCACGTGGTGCACACCAAAAGGATCTTCAGAGTAGCCACCGTCATGTGTGTGACCAGCAATGAAACACACGACACATTTGTGCGACCAAATGACTTCCAGGGCATCTCTATAGTTCCAGGCCAGGCACACAGTGTCAGAGGCCTCTGGGTAAATGGGGATATGGCCTGTTAGTTAAAGAAAAGAAGTTATGAGCCAATTAAGAAATACCTTTTCCATCAAGATAAATGGCTAAAAGCTAGTACTAAGGAAAATTGCATATTTACTATTTTATCGTTCAAATTGAGACCACAGAGGACTCATATATAAAGAAGTAGATAATTGACAGTCGCATCTCTGGTGCGTAGAAAGGAAGGTGATAATATCACCACTGAGGTGGGAGAGGACAGAGGACTCTGCCTGAGATCTCTGAGGCCCACAGAAGTCTCAAGTTGTACAAACACAGAAGATCAAGGGCATCCTGTATGGGGGAGTTTGTAAAGTCTGCTAGAAATCAGGCAGATGCCATACTAGAACCCAGTCTCATTGATTTCCTTAGATATATATACAGGTAGATGTAACACTAAATAAGAGAACAGCTTAGGGGCTGGCCATGGATTATACGTCCTTTATATAAACAATGCTATAGAACTGATTAATGAATAGCCCCATGTGATCAAGGTAGCCATATCCAATTTACAGATGAGAAAACTCATTCAAACAGGTAAGGTTTATATTGCACCCTATAGAAAACATGCACAAGTAGATGATGGAGAGTTTGAAGCCAACACATCTGACAGTCCAGGCATACAATGAGCCCGTTTCATTCTGATATCCAGGAAACACAGCTCACTGATCTCTGCTTCTTCCCAGTAAATCACTTTTTTTCTTACTATTCATTTTTATTCTGAAATTTAAATATGCTCTTAAAAAAACATGTTATAAGTCAAAATGATGGAAGGAATTAACAGGCTCCTAAAGCGGGAAAGGAATCCACGTACCTATGCCCCCCTCTTGCATACATACACACACACACTGCCTGTGATAACAGCTAACAGTTCAACAAATTGTACAGAAGCCACACTGACCCGTGTATCAAATTACACAATTAGTTGCCCCCTTCTCCTGAAGGACTGGGCTTCTAGGATGCTGCTAGTCTTTCTCCAATCCCCATGCCCACTAATCTTTGATCTCCTCTCCTGGTTTCTCCTAAGTTCCTCAACATCCTGTCAGGAGTACCAGAAGCTTGGTTCTTGGACTCCTCTATCTACACTTAATGCTTGGCGATCTCTCCGTGATTTCCACATCTTTAAATCTAACAGGCACATGAGGCTTAGTATGTCTGACAACTCCTTGTTGCAGTGTTCCTCACCTCAACTACTGGCTCTTCTGCCCTTCCAACTGCAAACTGCATGGCAAAACTCAAAAGCTCAAACTCAACATGACTTCTGAGTAGACAAAAATCAAACTTTTAACTTTTAAACTTCACTAAAGGAAGACTGTGGCACTTGACTGGTAAAGGTTTGCTTATCCAGTTTCTAAACTTTCAGCAAATGATGAAGAAATGTTAAGACTGCTGAAGCAGACAGGTATAATGCTAACGGAAAAGTGATGAGAGCCTGGGAGTATCCCTCACACCTATAATCCCAGCTCTCAGGAGGCTGAGGTGCGAGGACAGAGACAGGGACCGGCCTGAACTACATAGCAAGATGCTGTCTCAAAAAAAAACAAGAATAAAAACAGATGTGAAGAAGGCAGGGTAGAGGGGAAGGGGCTTAGGATATAAAACACGGACACCAGTCTCAGTTCTGTCAGCAACTGTAGGACTTTAGCTATGTAGTTCAATCTCTTCAGGTTTCAATTTCTTTACCTTCAAAAATTGAAAGGTTTGTCTACATGATCTCTAGGCTGCTTTTAGGTCAAATACTCTCAATCTGACAATGGCAAACCAAAAAGCAAACACAAGCCAGGAAGCACTCCAGTTTCTGAGGCCACTTATGGTAGGGTCAAATGGTCTCATGACACACCAACAACCTGAGGGACCTTACCTTTGCCAAGTCTGGACACTTGGCAGTCAAATGGCAGCACAGACTCTCCTCCATCTACTGTTTTTACAGTGGAAGATTAATATGTAAAAACTACATTCATGGATAGAAATACAATTCTACAGTATCAACTACACAAATTGTCTACTGTTTATTTTCAGAGGGTTTTCAGTCATAATTTTGATGCAAGCCTGAGAAAACTGCAGTTTGTATGTTCAGTATTTTTCCAGGCCCCGTAGTTCATCTAGTAAATGAGAGCCAGAAAGGTGCACCATCCTCTGGCTCTCAGTCCAGTCTTCTCGTCTATTTAAGTCATGATGATTTTAAAACAAGGGCTGTAATGTCAGCCCCAAACCAAATCTACCAGCGCTACTCCAAATTCAGTTCTTCATGTGTAGGCTCATACACACATGTGTGTGTTAAGTACTTGCAGATTCCCAGAATCCCAGACAGCAGCATCTGTCAACAATGACTCTAAAGGGAAATAAGAGAAGTCTAATTTTCTTGGGATCATGTGGTTGACACAGACAGGGAAAGTGCTCGCTGTCATCGAAGTCTGTCAGGCTCACCCCCTATCAGCTGTGCTGCACCTGGGCAGCAGTGGCCTGTTTGATGGCCACTGCACTGACGGACAGGATTTTGAAGACTGAGATTTGGAAGGGGGCCTGTACTGAATTTCTCATTTAAAAATTATTATATATATCAATCCCATTTGGGGAAATTCTACTTTGAGACCTACAACTGCAACTCATAGGCTCAAATATATGGCAAGATGGTTTTTGTTGTCTTATTATTCTCTAATTCATCTTTTTTTTTTTTTTGAGACAGGGTCTCCCTATGTATTCAGGCTGGACTTGAACTCACTATATAGCCCAGGCTGGGCCCAAACTTGCACCAATTCTCCTGCCTCAGCCTCCCAAGTGCTAGGATTACAAGCATGCATCACAATGCCTGCCTCTCTCCTAACTCATTCTTAAATATTAACCTTCAATTCAGGTTATGTTTCAATAAAAAATTTTTAGAGCAAGCATCCATTTTCTAGAAAGAGGACACCAAAACATATATTAGTATTCTTTAAAAGCTAACACTTCCCAATCTCTAAAGTGCTACTGTAATCAGATAAACAATTTATATACTTACTCACAATCACCACTTTTTCTTGGTTTGTGTCAGAGAATGTAAGAACATCATTCAACCAGTTCAGCTGCTCTTGGCTGAATCCTCCATTGAACTGGACAAACTGGGGCTCACACAGTCCTGAATGAATTCAATAAGTCACACCCATCAAACGCCATTCTTTCCCTCATCTGGGTATTCAAATGAGGACACCTGTTCTTTTCTTTAGGAAATTTGATTAACAGCAATAAACTTTAGACAGAAAATCATAAGAATTTTAAATAATACATAAATAAATTACATCATGTCTTACCTCGAGTCTTGGCACTGTTTTGTTTACTTTATTGGCTTTCCATTACACTCAAAAGAAAATACAAATTCCTTGCTACATCTCCTGAGCCCCATGAGATATTCCAGCTCCTGTTCACTCTTCAGCATCACCTTGTACCTCACTGGCCCTTTTCTGTGTTGTTCAGTAATGCCCAAGTCTTATTCCACTTAGTATCTTTGCATTTGTTCTTCCCTCTTGTCTGCTAACCTCCTACCCCTCATTCTCACTAAGGCTGACTCCTTCATCTAGATACTGGCTTCAGCTTCAATGATTTCCTTCTTGGAGAGTCTTTCCTTAATCACAAAATCTAAAGCAGCATCCCTCATCTTTTTCTGTAACATTACACTCTGTTTTCCAGGCAGCACTTACCTTTGCAAAAATAACATGTTTCCGTTTTGTATTGCTATAGACTGGGTCTTAATGTCTCCCAAAGGCCCCTGTATTAAAGGCTTAGTCCCTAGCTCACAGTGGTACTAGGAGGTAGCAGACTCTTCTAGAGGTGGAGCCCGGTGGGAATAAGTTAGGTCACTAGGGGTGTGACCTTGAATGGGATACTTGGACCCTAGGCCCCAACCACTCTTTCCCTGCCACCATAAGGCAAGGAGTTGCTCTACCAGGCACTTCCTGCCATCATGTGCTGCCTCAGCACAGATACAAAGGCAACAGGACCAAATGAAGATGAAACCTCTCAACTGAAACCTCTCAACTCATGAGCCAAAATAACCCTTTCCTCCTCGTAAGTTATTCCAGGTATTTTATCACGATAGAAAGTTCATACATTTATTAAATGTGCTGCCTGCCAACTGCTTTGGTTCTCTCCATTCCATTCACAAGGAAAAAAGTGATATTATATAGTGATTGGCCCAGAATGAAACCTACATCAATTACAGCTAAACCAAAACATCAGGCTTGTGTGAAATCCTGACCCTGAACAACAGTGACAAATACTTTTACCTTAATCATCCATTTTCCTGCTGAATAAAAGGCAGCAGAAGAATTTAAAGACAATGAATTAGATTCTCGGTTCAAAGGAATAATTCACCTTGAGGACTATTCAATTCTGTATTTGGATTGTGCTCCCTCAGTATCTTCATACACTGCTGGTATTTTGGAGAAGACTGTTCTATACCCAAGACACTCAAGTCATAAGCATCAAGTAAAATGAACCGGAATTTAGGGAATGGTACAAAATGATAAGCATAGTAACTCTCCGAAGGCACAGTCTCGGGGTGATGTACAATCCGGTCTTCTAGAAACTTTGTGTTAAGCTTAGAGTTTGTTAAATAGTCTCTACTGAAGTTATAAAATTCATGGTTTCCCCACGTATGATGAACTGGGACTTTAAGCATCTGAAATGTGTTCATGACAAGATCCAGAGACTTTTCTGATGTCTTATACCGCGCATTATACCCATCGATGATGTCCCCGAGTTGGAGCACACAGCAGGGCATGCTGCTTTCTTTATTCCACTCTTCAATAGCACCCGTGAGGTGAAGAAGACTTTGTCTGTAGTACCTCCGCCTGCTTCCTTGGAAATTGTACCCATCCTCTAAGTCAGCATACTGAATATCCGCTATGACTCCAAAGGAGAACAGCCATTCTGATCTGTCTCTCAGGGTCCCGGGATCGGGCTTTTCAGCCATCACCTCTGAAGAGGTTTCTGAGTAAAGAAAGTGAAAAAGAAAACAAAGTGAAAAATACCTTAATTTTCTAATTGGGCAAGAAAATAGCAAAAGGAATATTAAACTTAGTAATTAATTTCCTAGACAGTTGGATAGAAAACAATGCATGGGCTGTAGAACTCATTTGACAGGCTTGGGTCTAAATACTAAGGCTCTGAAACAGTCCAGTTTTCTCCAACTGTAAAATAGATGATAAACTCTATGCTTCAGAATAGTAACAATTTACAAGGGTATTAACCTATGAGTGAACAGGCATTTTAATTCTAGTAAAGCCATATTCAAATTTGGGATAATTTCTGACGTTCAAAACTACACATTCATTTAAAAAATATAACATATATCCTTTCCTACAAACATCAGATAAGTCCATTAAAACTTCAAGGTCTGAGGGATGGTGTATATTACATTCATCCATTCATGGTACTTTATACATAAGATTCTTATTATCAGTCTAGGCCTTTCCTCTCTGATGAGTAGGAACACCTGAAATAAGATTCTTGCATTTTATATCTGAAGTAATTGGAAGAGACAGTAAAGATATGAAAACAGGAGAATAATTTTAAACAGCAAAAAAACCCAGCACAAAAACTATGATACAAATGTACTGCCATTTCCATAAATAGTGGCTGCTGGTTCTTTAATAGTTAAGAGTCTAATTTGAACCAATTTTTTTTTAATCTTAATATTAACCTTCTTTGCCCCACAACCAAACCAGAAACCATGAAATCTTTTCATCTTATACATGATCTCTACCCTTTACCATCTAAACTTATAATTGCTAAAGGAACAAGAACTAAGTATTAAGACAAAAATCAAAGTCCAAGGCCCTAAATTATCAACAGGTTTTTTGCTATAAAGACTACAGTAATAAATCGTGGTGATGGTGCCTGAATGTTATGTGATTATATGATTATATGATTGTGTCTGGGTGTCCCCCCAAAGCCACATGCAGTCATGAGGCAGGCTTTTAGAGTTTATGATTGATTCATAGTCCAATGTTGGAATTATGGATGTAAGTGCTACACCTGACCTGGAGTGGGTAGTTTGCATGTAAGACGGAAAGAGGCTGCTTGCTGTTGCTGCTCCTCCCTTTTGCTCTTGTTGCTTTTGCTGTTTTCCGCCCCCATGAACTGTTGCCCTCTGCCATGTGCCATCCTGCCTTGGAGCCAGCTGATTATGGACTGAAACCTCCACAAACTGTGAGCTAAATAAACCTTTTCTTCCTTAATTTTGGGTGTCAGGTATTTTGTCTCAGCAACAAAAGAAAAGTAACCAAGACATTGAGCTTATTCAGATCCACTTGTTTGTAAAAGTTCATTTGACTTTCTAAAATTTGAAATTCATTTAGATCCTGGAGTCCAACCATTTACCCATTACATGTACAGAGTTTCTATCTAATCCTCTATAGATATGTGAAATACCAGTTGTAAGAGACTCCTAACAGAGGTGGAGGATGCAACTCAACAATCAGAATAGGGATCAGACTTCAAGTGAATTTGAGAACTAAGGAAGTTCTCTTTAGTCTAAAAATTATGTCACTAATGATAAACTCTTTATCTAGTCCACACTAATTTTAGCTTTCTGTTCTTACCTAATTTGGGTGTAACTAGCCCCAATAAAGGTGAAATTGCACCAGAAAAAGGAAATTTTGAAAAGTGGCTATCCCCACGCTATTTTTAAAATTTGTTCATTTCTTCCTGTAGTGTTCATCTGAAAGCCTCAGTAGGTATCATGTCAATAGATATGTATGATGAGGTGATATCTTCATTTGTTTCTATAAATAAAACTGGTTTGAAAAGTGGAGAACTCAGATACAATTAAAACAAACACATGGAGCTTGTCACTCACTTGCTGCTTGCTATCTTGTCTGCTCTGTTTTGCCATGAACTGTTTCTCCTCTCGAATGTCCCTGTCTTGCCACTCTGCCTTTGAGTCAGCCAACTATGGACTGAAACGTTTACAAACTGTGAGCCCTTAAAAAAAATACGTGTCAATTAAAAACCTCTAGTCAGTTTCAAACACCTGTACATTCAAGTACAGATTAATAGGGACATGAATATTATTACCAAAGCCTTAAGGAAAACCATTTCTAGGGATGTTCTTATTCCCTGCCAAATAAGCATTTTTAAAACATATTTAAACTCAGAACCCTAAAGGTGGTAAGTGTGCTGTGGATCTCTTAGAGAGGATTTAGTCCCCACAATTTAATCTTCTATCAAAAATCAGCTGTTATTAACAGCTGTTATTTTTGCCTATCCAGCAAACATTTCCTACCTTTGGTAACAGCACTCCAACTTTCCTTTAGGCATCTACCCAGTTCCCTACTGTCACTTTTCATCATTTGATTTCTGAGGAAATGAAAAGGCTGAGGAAAGACAGTGACAAACTTATGATCTAGGTTTGGCCTCTAAAAGCCCAGTTTCTGGGGCTGGGGATTTAGCTCAGCGGCAAAGCGCCTGCCTAGCAAGCGCAAGGTCGTGAGTTCGGTTCCCGGTACCGGAGAAAAACCAAAAAAAAAAAAAATAAAAAAAAAAAAATAAAAGCCCAGTTTCCTTCTCACCAGTCAGGGAGAAGATTATAGCCAAGCATAAAACCCCAAAGTACTACTTTTGTTGGTAACTAAAACTTGAATTTCTGGGGAAAAGTGAACTGAGAAGCAATCCAACATAAAACAAAACAAACCTGAATGACAGATTCCTGGAAATAGTTGTTGAAAACCGTACCCACCTGCCCCCACCAGAACTACCCTTAGCATTTAGTTATTTCAGAAAATAAAATCCCCTTAGAGCTGAAACACAAATCCAGGTGGTTTTCTACCATTTAATAACAAAATCCTGTCAAATACACCTGCCACTGGAGCAAGTCAGCTTAGGGAAACTCAAAGGCTATTGCAGAATTTGGCAACTTTTTAAAGAAAGCTACACAATGTGGAGCACAATATCAAGGGGCCCACACTTCAAAACGATAATCATTCTAGGGCAAAAAAGAGACCACAGCATGAACTACTTACAGCTGTTAAAAGTAAGGTCAAGGATAGAGAGGTGACACACGATTTTATTAAGCAAAAGAAATTTTTATTTTGAAGAGACAGGATCAGAAGTGAAGCAGGGAGATGGAGAGAAGGGGCACCACATGGGCAAGGAAATGACCCTCCTTGCTAATTAGGTTTTATTTTATGGTTCAGGGAGATGCCAGGGAGCTCAGAAAGATTGGTCCTGGTGGAGCAATCAAAAAACTCAATGTGACTTGCAGCGGGGAAACAGAGCCAGTAGGCATTCTCATGGCACGGAACTTTTTCAAAATAGTGCTTTCCTCTACCCAATACATAAAAGACAGAGTAAGTGCACAACATAACAACTGTTGAAGCTAGTTATGAGTCAACTAATAATGATAGCAATTTTGATGTGGAGTCAGTAAAGAAAGAAATCCAGAGTAAAATATTCGAAATGCACATTGTACGGTAAGAGGAGCCACTCTGGGACAGAGCCACCGTGGGGTGTGATTTAAAATTCTGTGCCAAAAAGGACCATGAATTTGTATAAGCTGGAGTCCAAAGGATTTATAAACTGTTATGGAAACAACATGCTCCACAACCAAGCGTCACTCAGTGTTGATGGTTCAATGGTGAAAAGCAAAGAACGCTTCTCCACAGGCATTCATGTACTGCTGAGACCGTGCTGTTGGACAGATCTGGAAGACAAATGAAGGATGAGCCCGCAACCACACAGCTGCAATCACAAAAGTTTCTCTTCTTAAAATGTAAAGATTTACCTGAAAACATATTAGAGGAACTTCATTTGATTCAACAAAAAACTCATGGATGAAACTTCAGAATCAGCTGATAAAAAAACTGGGACTTCATTTACTTGAAGACACATTTGAAAAATTTCATAAAGCAATAGAGGATAAATTCATAAATCTTCAGCAGCTAAAGGAAGAGATGAAACTACTCAAAGACTTAAACCTTACCCTCTTTTCAAGAAAATGGAGACCTCATGTCAAGTAACTACTTCAGTGTCCCGTCTTCATAAGGCTCACTACTTTCTAAGCCAGGAGTCAAGTGAAAAAGCAAGCGAGCCCCAGTCTGGAGACCCAGCTTGTAAAAAACACAGATTCAGGACAGGGCCTCTATTCCTCTCTGGGCCTCAAACTGTTATAGCCAGCTAAGTTAGACAGAAGTAAATATATAGCCAGAGAGGGACCAGGCTCTCAAGGAAGCAGCCAAAAAATAAAGATATTAGAATTAGAATTAGAACCGTGGCTGGACGCTCATGTGAAGAAGGCAAGGCCTCAAGATAAAGACGCAACAGCCAGGCCTAACCCTGAGATTACACTGCAGTTAGCACCACCCAGTCTGGTATATCTAGATAGGCATCTGTTGCTCAGCTGGGTGACTAAAGCATGTAGATCCATCCCTTCCCAAAAGTACCTTTGTTCCTTCCATGTGGCCTTGCCATGTGATTCACTTCCCTACTGGATCAATGTTATCTAGCAGCTATACTTATACTCCTATAGGTTGACTGTAGTTTGACCCATGTTGTACCCACTTTGCAACTTCACTGTATAAATTACCCAAGACAAAGAGCCTCAGTGGTCACCCCATTCAGGACACTTCCTGTAAATTCAGGAACTATTCTTCTCTCATTTCCAATAAAACTCTGCTAACTTCCTCCTTTGGTTCTCGACTTCATTCCTCAATGCTGTGGGACACTAACTTGGCACATCTGATGTTTAACAGGTTGGGAGTTGTATTTCTCCTACATCAAAACTGCAGCCCCTACCAGCTCTTGCTTCTTAGTCCTGACTGACACTTCATGCACACCCCAGTGTTCCCTGCCTCTCTCATTTCACTTCCCCTACTTTTTCTTCTCCAATAGACTATTTCCCACGCAAAATAAAAAGAATAAGCTGCAAAGTGTACAGAAAATAGAATCTGAAAGAATTAGAAGACCCAAGGATATGTTTTGCCTCTGAATAGAAAGAATGGCAAGTTTTTAGTGAACTTTATTCAGAAAATTTTGCCTGCACCATTTAACATGCACCATTAATATTATTAAGTCTTAGTTTTTTTTTTTTTATAAAGGTATAATTGATATAGGACATGTGTGAGAACTTGCTTCAGTGATCATGAAATTAAAACGAAGGCAACAGCAAAAAATTACAGTCAAAAGCTTTGAGGAAAAAAGAGTGGAAAGGGACCCCAGCTTGAGAAGAGAAATAAACTGAACAGGACACAACTCTGATAGAGATCATACTGGCCAGTTAATAAAAGAAGAGTAGCTTTAAAGGTGCTGCTAAGGTGTACCAGGGTCTGGTAATTTTCCATTTGGTTTTGAGTATGGTATTTTTCCTGAAACTTCTTTGTGTTTTAAGGGATTTCCCCCCATCTAGGATACGGATTAGCACCTATTCTCACCTTGGATTCACATCAAGGGTACCCCCTGCTGTTACAGGGCATCTGGTCCCTGCACTAAAGAGTAGGGGGGTGGGGGAAGGGGGAGTGGATGAATCTATATATTGTTGGGGGGATAGGAAAAAAAATTACTTCATCTCTAGTGGGTAATAGCCATGGATTAAGATCTGAAAACTCCTATCTCTTGCCCTCACAAAGGTTCCTTCCCCATTTCATGGTGAGCTGCTGAAAGTTTTGAAATTGAAGGCCTGGAACCCAAGTATAGTCCCAGTTTTCCCGAAAGCAAAACTACTCCTCACTAGATTGTTATGTGATTCAGCCTAGTTACAATGCAAAGCAACTACTTTGTGACTCTCTCAACCATAAAGCACCACATGCACTTAACACAATGATTTTTAAATTACATTTCCAAAAATTTATCTCTAATGAGTCCCAGGAAAACTGAAACTACTGAAACTTCTTACTGCAACAGCATAATGTAGAAAACCTTACAATATTTTCTCAAAATGGCTACAAAATGGTGCAGGGACATGCCCCAACACTTTGTGAAAACCACCTGAGGTATAAGTCGTTTCAAAAATAATAAAAAATACCCAGGGATGGTTATCTGGACACTTGCTACAAGATGACACCAGTAAAACCTCTACAATACCTACGACTGGCAAAGCTTACGTTCCTTCTAGAAAGGCCTCAAGCATGTCAGTAAAAAGATTTTGTTAAGAGAATCTATTATATAGAAGCTCTAACCCTTAACTGAAAGTGTCTCAGGAAGGAAAGAGATAAACTAAGCTTTTATATACAGAGACCATGGAAAGAACAAAGCAGCAGAGATGTCCTGAAACCCAACTGTGTGAATACTGCAATAACAAGAAAGTTGAAACAGGAAATGTTTGTAGTTGGGCACAAGAAGCTGAGATCGAAAACTATGAAAGAAACATGTCACAGTGCTAGGAAGTTTACAAGTTTGGGCTTGGCTATTCTAGCCAAACCAGTCTTAAAAATTACCTCAAGCACAAAATCTGATCAGGCTTATAACTATTTTTTTTTTTTTTTTTTTTTTTTTTTTTTGGTTTTTCTCCGGTACCGGGAACCGAATTCACGACCTTGCGCTTGCCAGGCAGGCGCTTTTTGCCGCTGAGCTAAATCCCCAGCCCCCAGGCTTATAACTATTAAAACAAATATCAGATGGTATTATCCAGGCCCTGTTTCCCCCAACGAAGGTACCTAAAATGAAAACAAATTCATGTGCTGTTCTTGCTGGGTCACAGTAGTAACAAAAGCAATAGATTTACAGTAGATGTTACACTTCTAGGTACCTTTTAGCTGGGTCCATGAAATCAAGCTCAGAGGTGTTATCAGCAATTCACCCAATATTTAGTTACAGTTAGATGTTAGAAGTTTATCTAATACTGTATCTTAATATCAACATGCCATAAGAATGCTGTGGTAAATAAAATACGGGTAAAGCTATTAATAGAATCACTTTGACAAAGAAAAGTTAGTAGTCCAGCTGAAAGCATCATCAAACGCAATTTTAATTTATAGAATGTGTACTTGATCAGTTCACCTTCCGATGAGCAATTAAAGTGATAAACAATAACTCTGGATGCTCCTTTCCTGAATAAGCAAGGTACTTTTGTGTCATTTTGTCAATTGTAGGAAAAACTCCCTGGACAAAAATATATTGAAATAAAAGAGGGAAAAATCTTACCCCTAGGTAACCTCAAGACAGAAAAATTAGTTTTGATTAACAATATAAAGTGCTGAGTAAACATTTAAGAATTTTTCTAAGGTGAGAGCCCCTGCCCTCATGAGGCTGAGTCAGGAGGATTTCAAGTTACAGGGCACGCTGGGGAACTTAAAAACGGCCCTCAGATGTAGCTTAACGTGATTCCCTGGGACCAGTCCCCAGAAAACGGGCTAGGGGAGAGTCTTTTAATTGAGCTAAATTTCACAAAACTCCAGCTCAACTTCAGAACCAAGAAACAAATAATATTAAACTGCATTACTTACTGTGTCAGAGAGTGGTACACTTGGTCGTTGGGACAAATCAGAGGGAGAGACAGAAAGAAGAAGAAGGAAAAATATATATATATATATATATATATATAATGCTCCAGTCCAATAATCACTGAACCAATAGTTTCTTTGGCTCTGAAGCCCCTTGAAAAAAAAAAAGCCACATAAGAGTGAAAAGTGTAATTAAAGAAGACAGATGGCAAAGCTGTATTTTTGCAAACGGCGGGCAGAGAAGACTGCACATACTAAGACATAAACGAAGGCAAATGGAATGAATTCGAGATGAAATTTCCCAGAGAATGTAAAATAAACCTACAAACAAACACTCTTAGCCTCATTATTATGTAGTTATATCCGAGTAACATAAACAGTCCCCGATGAGGAAGCCATAAACAAACTTCAAACCACGAAACTAAAGAGGTTAGGGTCCTCAGCATTTTAGGAAACTTAAGGCCGCAGCACCCTACGTTAACGGGAGGCCAGGACGCAGTAGATGCTCCGCACGGTGCTGCGCTTTACAGTCAGGTCGCGATAGGCCCGCGTAGCTAGAAGCGCTGGGCACTTCAGACATAACCTCCTTTTAGAGGGAATCAAACCTTTCAAATTATTCGTAGCATTTTTAAAAATCAAGGGTTGTTTGAAGAATAATCAGTCAACTTCTGCTTTTGAGGATGCGAAGCGGTCAGAGACTTGTAAGTCTACTTGGCCGACCCACAGACAGGGCAGGACGAGGGTCACCGGACGGATCGGGTGCAGGTGCTCCCGTCCCGCCAAGCGCCTGGCAAGGGCTGCGGTCAGATCACCCACCCCTGCCCCCCTTGGCGCTCAGCACCGCCGGGCCCCGGCCCCGGCGCGCAGCCTGGACCCCTCAGTGCTTCCGCTGCCCGCGCGTTCCCCCGACAGGACCCTCAGCCCGCGCGGACCAGCCCCAGCCGAGGGGCACTACGTACCTCTCGCCCGGTCCTCCGCCAGCCTTCCTTGACAACTCGCTAGGAGATCACAACATCATCGAGACGAGCGGAAAGAGCGGCTTCCTTCGACTTCCGGAGGAAGCGGAAGGGTACCGGAAGTAGAGGAGCGGGTCTAAGCGGAAGCGGTCTGCTGGGGCTCATGGCTGCGTTGATGCGGGCTCCGGGCGGCCAGGTTTGGCGGATCCTTCCTCGCGGACTCTGGCTTTGGAGCCCAGCGGACAGGACTGCGAAGGTCTTGCTGAGGCAGTTCTGTGCGCGGCAGGAAGAGGTGCGGCGGGTCTCGGGGAGCCCTGGCGCTTGCCGGGGAAGCCGGACCTTCAGCACAGGGCTGCCGCCACCCCCGGAGTCATCAGGGCCCGAGCCTAAGGGTCACAGAGACCCCTCGCACCCCTCGAAACCTGGGGTGAGTGTCTACCTGGAGTCCTTGCAGTGCTCGGCACGGCTGTCCCATCCCAGTGGCCTTTCCGTCCACTGGGTGCTAACCTCAGAAGCTCCTCGGCCTTGCCTCAAAGTGACCTCGCCTCGGTCGGCTTACCCGGGTCCTGGAGTCCCATCCTCATCTCCCTGGTTTCCCGGTAGCCCCGGTGCTCCGAGAGCGAACTTAAGAAGCTACACCCTCTGTGTGTCGCTAGACAGTCGGGTTTGCATTTTAGTTCAACTCTCTTGCCAATAAAATAAGTTTCCGATTTTCTTAACGACCTCAGCCTTAAGTTTACCATGATTGAAGAGTCAGAGCACTTGAAAATTTCTGTCAGTTGAATTCCTCTTCAGGAGTTCCCATGAAGACCTTGAAATTGAAACAAAAGGAGGAGCTTGTTTGCTTGTGGATATGCCTCTTTCTTGCGATTTTCTCAGGTTTTAATTCTGACCCCAAAAGAACTTAAAACTACTACTCCTTAGTGACAGGTAAAACAAGTAGGTTTGCAGAGCTAGGGCAAGGTTAGTGAGTTAGGCCTAGGTGACAGACATCTTCCTTATTTTGGGACTTGAATAAAAAGAAGTAACTTGATGCAGTTTGTATGAAGCCCCGCTTTTAGACCTCCTTTCTACTTTGGTTAATACTTCTGGAAGCCAGAGTTAGGCTAACGGCCCTATTAGTTTTATGAGTATATTCTCAGTGTCAGCACAAGCTGGTAACTGATTGATTGTGCAGTACTGGGGCTTGAACTTAGGGCTAAATCCCCAGCAAACCTCACACCCACCCGCTTTTAAAATTTAAATCTCCCAGGCTGGCTATGAACTTTCAGTCCTTCTGCCTCAGCCTCCCATACTGCTGGGATTACAGGCATGAGCCACGATGGGGAACTTTAATTGATTTTTAAATAAAAAGTTGGAACCCGGGTTGCACATAGTAACAGTCATGGTACTTGTGGTTCTTTGTGTTGATTTTCCCTCTGAACAAGAAATTAAACAAGTAATCAAGTTACTTCTTTTTATTCAAGTCCCAAAATAAGGAAGTCCCCATGTCCTTGTATATATGCAAAGCCCCTGTACAAACCTCCTCCTCAGAAACGTTCAGCACTTTCTCATCCCAGGCTAATTTGACACATTCTGCATTTTGAATAAAATCATGGCCTGTGTGTGTATATTAAAAACTATAAGAAATTTATCGTGGTTAAATGTTTTCATCTTACTGATATTTTTATTTTTGAACTCCTTGCCCCAGTAGCCTGTTTCCTGGAAGTCTTTAGCAATCACATTTGCTATTGGAGGGGCTTTACTGGCTGGAATGAAGTACTTTAAGAAGGAAAAGACAGAAAGTAAGTAGATGTCATCTACTCATGTCTGAGTAAAACCTGTCCTGGCCATGTACCAGCACCCTTTTTTGTGGTGGTTTTTCAACTCTTGAAATAGTTTTAGATGTACAGAACAGTTGTAAAGACAGTTTAAAAATTCCCCCAGTGTAGCTTTCACCCAGATTCCCATAATGTTATCATCTTATATAATCATGGCACATTGAGCAAAACTGAGAAAGTTTGTACAAAACTCTAACTAAAAGTAGAGTTTATAATGATTGCACATATTGTTTCATCAGTGTCTTTTGCTTTTCCAGGATCCAATCCAGGATACCATTAATGATGTTAAAAGATGTATTGTGGATTTGAATGTGAAATTCAAATGTAGTATGAAATGTAGAGGATGCAAAAATGGCTGAGATGCTGTCCCATACTTGAGGTGCACATGATAGAAAAACGGACTCAAAAGTAAAGGGTTTCGCTAGATGAGATTCCGTGAGGCCAGAGGAAACTGGTGCTTGAGGGCCAAAGGAAGGCCCAATCTTCATAACTGAGAAGGCTTCCCAGGGGTCAGGCATGGAGAAGAACATGAATAGATCCTACACACCAGTGGACATCTGCAGAGGGAAAGGCCAGAAGCTGACCATGGTTAAAGAGAGCTAGCTCTAACATAGCATCTTGAAAGGTCCAGAGGCGGGGGGAAAGAAGGAATTTAATATGTTAGTGTTTATTCCAGGACTTTTAAGGTAGGAAGTTTCAGATAAATCTTTCAGATACTACTTAAATTTAATTTGATTATGTATAGTCTCTTCTGATGGCATTATATTCAAAGGGTAATATTCAGATCTAGAGTGATAGTTCTAGGCTTTAAAATTTTAGTAAAATAGGTTCTGTACTGCTGTTGGTATAACAAAGGGACTCTTATATAACAAACATTAGTATGATGGTCATATTTTAATTAGCAAGTTTCTTTAGTTTCACATACAGACAAAAAATTTAGACGCTAGAAAAATAATTTCAAACTATACAAGCTTCTTTTGACTTTAGTTTGGAATTTTACCCACAATAATACTTGTTTTATTATAAAAGTTTACTATGAGACAATCTTCAAAGTGTTCCTTAATTGTCTGAGAGCATTTGGTGACATGATGCCTCACTGTCTCCAGTACACAGTAAAAGCATGGTCTATTTTCTGCAAACAAGGACAGTCTCCAGTATAATCACAATATAACCATCGAAATCAGAACATTAACAGATTAACTTGAATCTCAAGTTTAATCTTCCTGTTTTGCAAGTCTTTTTTTTTTTCTTTTGAGTCAGGGTCTCGCTATGTGCAGATCAGACTGGCACTGTGTACCCCAGGCTGGCCTCACATTCACAGCAGTCCTACTGCTTCAGCCTCCTGAGTGCTACGATTACAGGCATGGGCCACCTCACCTGGCCGTCACATCTTTTATCCTAGAATCACACCTTATTCCTAGCTGTCTCTTTAGTCTCCATCAGTTGTAATGGTTTCCCAGAGGTTACCTTACTTTTGTGACCTTGACAACTTTAAAGATTACAAGCTGGTTATTCTGTAGAATATCCTTGGGTGTGGCTTGGTCTGATGTTTCCTCCTAGATTGAAGTCATGCTGGTTTGGCAGAAATATCAACAAAGCAATGTTGTGTCCTCATTGGATCTAGTCAAGTGCCTCATGGTTTCGCTTTGTCCCATTATGGATAATGTTCAGTTTGATCATTTGATTACGATATCTATCAGCCTTGTCTCCTTGAAAGTCGGTCTTACATGTATTTTGTGATAGGTATTTTCACATTTTGTTTGCACGTGTTGTTTCCATTAAACACTGAATTTATTCATTTCTCTGTGTCAGTAAGAACTCATGGTTTCCTATATATATAATGATTGTGATACACTGTTCTCTATTTTGAGTGAGCTAGTGGGAGTCTGTTCAGTCAGGCTTTTTTCTTTTTGACATCTCCAGTATTCTTGTAGTCCTTCCTTACTTCTGCCACAGGAGGGTCCAGGCTCATCTTATCCTTTTGTCGTGCTGTTAGTCATTTCTCCAAAAGTCTGTTTCCTTTTGGTTGGTGAGTCTGTACTTTGTTGAAATTGATATCATAAACTTAGACTAGTACCTTTGATTTCTTTGTAGTATTACAAGGATCAGTGTAGTTCTCTCCCTGCCCATAGTTTTGACTCGTTTTCCATTTGTAACTCGCTTACCTATATTTTCCTTTTTTAAAAATCAATCCTCTCTATGTAAATGAGGTCCCATCACCACTGCCCACTCAGCCCCATGCTCCCCCTAGCAGCCACCACTGTAATGTGACTTGGGCTCAGACATCTGCTCTGGGTCCCTGTGACCCTTGCCCTACTCTCAACACAGCCACACCTAATGGCTTAGGATTAAATTGTTCTGGAAGAGGAAGAAGTGGTTTTAGTACTTCCTTATGGTGCTTCTGCATGCCATAGTATTTAATTTGGATTCGTTTTATTATTTTAGTTTTTCTGAAAAGATTTCTTGAAACCTGAAACTACTTCCACATTTTGTGCCCTACCCACACAGTTACTAGAATAACGCTGATCATGTGTCAGATATTCAAATTCCTGTGCTTCAGATAACATTTTTGGTGTCTCTTTAAGGGCTGGAGAAGGAGCGGCATCGAAGCATTGGGAAGCCTTTACTTGGGGGCCCATTTTCCCTAACAACCCATACTGGAGAGCCCAAAACTAACAAGGACTACCTGGGTCAGTGGGTATTGATCTATTTTGGTTTCACTCATTGCCCTGATATCTGTCCAGAAGAACTGGAAAAAATGATTCAAGTTGTGGATGAAATAGGTAAGAAAGCCATTACTAACTCTCCACTATTTATTTTTACTTAATGTTTCTACATTTTTACATTCTTGTGTTATTTTGGGGGATATAATTATTTGGTCTGTAAAAATATAAAATCTCAGCATTCAGCTTGTTTGTTGCTTTGGTTGTGTGACCTGACTCTCCACCAAAGAAAGCTTATTTCGATATTTAATGTTAGATCACTTGAAAAACATCAGTACGGGCAGAGTCTCACTAAATGTTGCTTTTGTGTCTCTTTCTTTATTGTGGTCTTCCCATTGCCTTTTTTCCCAGTGATAGTTAGATTAGGAAATCTACAATGGTATGTAGTCAGTGGTGCAATATTTTTATTAGTGCCAATTTAAACAATCTTAAAGTGTTTCGGAATATTCAGTCCTTTTAGTTGGTTTACCTTGTCCTTGAGCTATGGTGGAGAATAAACTATAGATACTGGATTAGATTGGATTAGAGAATATAACCAGGGTAACACTTACATTCCAGCATAAGTACTTCACAGGGTTATATATCTGGTTCTACCCATTCCTGTCCTCTCCACTGAAATGCTAGATTTCCCTGTGTTGCCTTAACACCGCAGTGTAGCACTTAATACCTCTCCTGCCATTGCTGATTTTGTTTTTTCCCTTACAGTACGAATACTAACTGAAATTTTCTTTCAGATAGCATTCCAACTCTCCCAAATTTAACTCCTCTTTTCATCACCATTGATCCTGAAAGGGACACAAAAGAAGCTGTTGCAAACTATGTGAAAGGTATATTTTACATCTTTACATACTTTTACATATTTTACATCTGTTTAGCTTTTGCAGTTTTTGAAATATCATCTCATTTGAACCATGTAATCCCTTTTGAAATAGGACAGATGGACTGATTTTATAGGCAAATAAACAGGGCGCTCGGAGTTTGGGCTATGGCTAATCAGTACGTAAATGAGAAAATGTTTTCTCAATTCTTTGTTCAGTACTCTTTTGTTTTATCACAGAGGCAGGATTTAAACTTGAACTTCAGGTCAACTAACAGAGCCTTGAATTAAGAGTAAGGACATACTGCTTCTAATTCCAGACCTGTACCTCATTCTCTTCTAGTAAAATTAGGAGAAACACACATTCTGAAAATGTATACATTGGCAGATTGAAGATGAATTACTAGATGAATTTTGAACTGATGTGTTTGTAAGTCCAGAACGTGTACTGTCACAAAAACACCTTCATAATTTTTTTTTTTTTTTTTTTGGTTTTTCTCCGGTACCGGGAACCGAACTCACGACCTTACACTTGCCAGGCAGGCGCTTTTGCCGCTGAGCTAAATCCCCAGGCCCTACCTTCATAATTTTTAATGTGAAATTTTTAATTCAGTTATCTCTACAGGCAGATTAAAATCTAAGTAGTTTTATAGGCTATAAATTGTAGTAGAATTGAGGATGAATGCTCAAGTTCTACTTTATCTGTGAGGTTAGGCAAGTTTACTTTCTGTAAACTCAATCCTCTTTAGTGTAGGTGCTTAAAAATCAGCAATTTGAATTTAAATTATGGTGAAATTGATTTAATTACTGGTCAGAAAAACTAATGCCTCCTTTTATGACACATTCAAATGCATATCCTGTAGAATTTTGAGATTATTTTAACATTTGTTTTGTGAAGGGCCTATTGTGTATTTTGTTATTTTTAACAGATATGTTGAGGTATAATTGCTGTACAATAAAAAGTACATTTGTTAAATGTGCAATTTGTTACCTTGTATGTGAGTATGTACCTGTGAAACAACCACCACAGTCAAGAAAATCAACATGTCACCACCAGGACTGTAGCTCAGTGGTGGAGCACTTGTCTAGCATACTTGAGGTCCTAGGGTCATTTCCCAGCCTTGGAAGAGGGAGGAGAAAGAGGGGGAGGGAAGGAGAGCGGAGGGGAGGGAGGGGGAAAGGAGGGAAGAAGAAGAAGAAGGAGGAAAACTTTTTTTAAGACAGGGTCTCACTGCGTGGTTCAAGCTAGTCTCAAACCAAACTCATGATCCTGACCCTTGTGAGCTGGGATTACAGGCATGGGCTACCATGCCTGGCTTTTCTTACCTTTCTAATCCTACACCCCAATTCCCTTCTCTACTTTCCATCTCCTGGCAACCATTAAACTGCTTTTGTCAAAGTAAGCTAGTTTGCATTCCACAATTTTACGTGAATGGAATTACACAGTATGTACTTTTAAAAAAAATTATTTTGAACATCACTGGTGTTGTAGCGTGTATCATGGCCTGTTCATTTGTGTTCCTGAGTACTAGCCCATTAATAGACATTGGGGGTTTTTCCAGTTTTTGGCTATTGGCGTATGGCATTCTGTGTTCAAATCTTTGTGTGGTCACATGCTTTCATTTCTCCTGAGTACACACCTACCTGTGGAGTGGCTGGGTCACCTAGTGTATGTTTCACTTAGGAAGAAACTGACGAACTGTTTTCCAAGAGGGTTGTGCATTCTTGGCCAGCAGTGTTGAGAGTCCCAGTTTCTGTACATCCTGACCATACTTGATATTTGGCACTCTAGTAGGCTTTTAATGCTGTTTCATTTTGATTTCAGTAATTTCTGTGATAAATATCAACACTGCGCATCTTCGCTATCTTGTCATCTGTATGTCCTTGATGAAGTGTCTACTCACGTCTTTTCCCCACATTTTAAGGGCTTAAGTCCAAATATATTGGCTTATTTTTTTATTTATAGTGCTTTTTGTTTAATATATAAGAAATCTTTGCCTAACACAGGGTTACAAGGGTTGTGGTTTCTCTTTAAATTTATAGTTTTATTTATGTATTTAAGTATAAATTTGTGCCCACAATTTGTAAGTTTGTCAGAAATTTGAGCAACAACAAAGTTTTTTCAAAAAGCAGTAAAAAGCAGCTTGTGTAAATGTACTCATTGGGTAATACATTTAAATGTGTTATGTTTGCAGTTATTTTTATCACATATTAATTAAACCATAATATTACCAAATGAGTAGACATTTAAATTTGCCATACCTAATTGAAAGGCCAAAACCTTATAGTAATTTTCTTCAAAAGCATGCATATGTATTACTAATTTCATTTTTTACGTGGAAAAGTTAAAAATTTTAAGTTAGTGTTTAGGAAAATACTGCAGTTTCAGCAGTTCAATTAAAAAATGTTTGAAAATGTAGCTAACTAAGGCTTCATTCACCCTTATTATTTACTCAAGTGAGTAGAAGAAAGACAAGCCAGGCTGCTTTTCTGAGTACCTAAATAATTTAGTACCCAGTTTAAAATGAATTAGTCAAGGAACAAGGGCTCCTATACTTTGTAAGAAGGAGGTGCTGTTAAATGTTGAGCTGTTGTTTTAGTAACCTGATGAATCCAGTTTTTTAAGTGATTTCCACTGAGCCACTTTTGTACATCCCAGCGACTTAACAGCACGTGCATCCTAGGAGTGATTTACCCTTAGCCCTGAACTTCGTTATAACTTGTTTTGGAATGATGACGAGTAATTGTTCAGCTCCTTATCAGAAGTAAAAATAGAACCTGATGCTGTGTCTGTATTGAGATTATTTGCTAGAAAATAAGGTGCAGATATTTTGGTGTGCTGTGATACGGTCATAATTGTGAGGCATACTTTTTCTGCATGATGCAGTGAAAAATCTATAGTGCTTAATTCATGATAATAGTTTTAAACTTGATTGTATCTCAACTACTTGTATTTGTAAAACTAATTAAAAATGGGATTTAAAAAAATAAAATGTATTCTATCCAGAACTTTACTAGTCATAAAAAGATTGACATACAGTCTATTACAAAGGAGAATTTTCATTTGTTGTATGTGAATTTCTTTTCGTTTGAATCATAAAGAACTGTTTGAGAACTCAGGAAAAAAGTACCACTAGGACTGCTTTATAATAGGTGTTGCTTTTTTGAGGTAGAAATGGCTATTTTGCTTGCTTCTCATTTCTCTTTGTCTTTCTCATTTTTTATTTAGAATTTTCTCCTAAACTGATTGGCTTGACTGGCACAAAAGAAGAGATTGATCAAGTGGCCAGAGCTTACAGGGTGTATTACAGCCCTGGCCCCAAGGATGAAGATGAAGACTACATAGTAAGTAAATGCCTAGCTTTTCCCTCATGGGCTGACTGCCAGATCCCAGATACTCATACAGTTTTAAAAGGTCCGCTACTCAGATAGGAGACCATTTGAGATGACTACAGATTCCTTGGGAATTTTGGATATTGGAAAGAAAACAAGCATTGTTTTAAAAGATGATTGTTTATCTTTACTGCTCATAATTTAATTGCCTGGACTTCTTTTCTAGTGGTGCATAAAATTTGAGGCACTGTAAAATCACTATGTGGGTACCATATTGGAAATAAAGGAGCCATCATGTGAAGAAAAGGCTTGTTTTAGCTTCATCTTAACTACTTACCAGTCCAATTATTTAAGTACAGGATGATCAAAATTGGGTATTTTTTCACTAATTGTTTTAAAGTAATAGAACAGAAAATATAAAACCAACAATTTTATCAAATGTTTTCAATACAAGAATCAACTGGTTGAAATGACACCTGCTCGAGCAGTGCTCAGTATAGTCAGCACGTAAGCAAATGCACTGCCCTAGTGATACTGACATAAACGGTTAGGTGGTTAAAAGCATTGTATTGGTGATCCTTGTGTCCTCAATGAAGAGGTACAAGAATATCCTCCTTTTACGAAGCAGTTCTAGGCAATGGGGAATTGCACTTGTAGGTTGAGTGAGAATTCTGAAGCACAAGAAGAGATGTAAGCTATCAGAAAGTAGACTTTCTATAAGGTTTACTTGCATATCAACTACATGCCTTGCACAGTTTGCTCTACTGTATGCTTTTTAATATGAACAGAAATTCTGTTACGTTGTTTCTCTGTATCTCTTGCGTTGAGAGCTCTCTTCATGTTCGTCAGCGCTGTCCCAGAAGTCTTAAACTGATACCCAAGTTACTGTGTCCTTTTCTTAGCAGTATTTTCATGATGTGGCCACAAAGGGCCTGAGCACTGCCCCTCTTTTAGTATGGACAGTTTTTCCTATCATATTAAAATTTGGTACTGTATTGTGGTAGTATAACAGAATTTTTTCAATCATCATACTCTGCTTTTCCTGTAAGATTAATTGGGCAAAGTGATTAATCATAGCCTTTCCAGCTGAAAAGCTGGTTTCGTGGAAAGAAGCATGGCTAGGATCCTGAATCACTGATCCATCAGTTTATCCCTAGAGCAATACGCAGAGGCGACATCTCATTGTGGTACTTTATCTCTGCTGCCCACTGTGGCTTCTCCATCACTTTTGAACCCAGAGCACATTGTGTGCTTGCGTACCCTGCAGACTAAATTAAAAGCAGGCTTCTGGCCCCTAATTAAACACACACAGTAGTCATACCTCCTGTGTCTGGTGCCTGATGGCATTAGGGAAACTTGGATCATGGGATAAAAAGACAAGAGAAAAATGCAGATTTTTCTTTTAAGTCCTAATTTTAAAGAATATGGACAGACCCTGCTGTGGTTTCCTCTTGCTGCACTGGCAGTGTAAGAAGCAGGAAGAGCAGAGGGGAGCAAGGGCCGGGAGAGGGAGCTGTGAGCAAGTGAAGGACTTTTCCAACTTCGGTACTTTTCTACAAGTTCCGTGAACTGGTCTGGAGTTTAACTGGCAATGGCAGGAGGAGCACATCAGTCTGACTTCAGCCTTAACAGATTTTTGTTGAGTTGTGCAAATACTTACCAATACTAAACTGGTGAGTACTGTTTAGTCTTGTGGACGGCTCATGACTCTGTAGTTAGAAATAAAACCACACAGCTTATAAAACCCGAATTTAAAACATTCAGTTAAAGTGATAAGATACTTTGCTGAAACCATAACACTGCTCCCAGGAACAGGTTTTGTGTCATGCCCAACTACACTACCAGCTGCCCCTCCACAGTTTTCTCTTCCTTTTTAAATACTTTGGAATCTTTGATTGTGCAGTCTTGACGGGCTGGCCTTTGATGCAGTAAAAACATCATTTTCATTGGATCTACCTATAAAATAGTAGTTTTCAGCCAAGTAGCAATGAGGCCATAAACAAACCAAACACAGATTTGGGCCCTGAAATTTGTATCCATAGCACAAATAGTGCAGACTATGGGTATTCATTTTTTTTAATCCTAAAAATTAAAATGAAAATATGCAAGGCTTACGGAGGCTTCTTTGACCCTCCAGAATACATCCTAGTTTGAGATAATAACTGGTCAACTGCCATAAGAATTTGACCTTTAGATAAAAGTGAATTCACTGCTATACGTTTGTGAACTCAACCAGTAGGGGGAGACACTCTCAAGTTTCTTAGGCACGCAGTAGTATGTTTTTGTTTTTGTTTTTTTTTTTTGGTTTTTCTCCGGTACGGGGAACTGAACTCACGACCTTGTGCTTGCCAGGCAGGCACTTTGCCGCTGAGCTAAATCCCCAGCCCCCACGCAGTAGTATGAATTTGTACCTTGGAGCTACAGATTTTCATGTACAAGATGGTCTGAGAACTTCTGCATAAGGTTTAGGGACCTGTGAGAAGTGATGGCATGCCTTAAAGATTAACCTTGAGTTTTAACTGAATGAGATTTTTATAATCAGATAACAGCAACAAGAGGTAAACTTTTAGGGTTTTTAGACAGAATCTGCAGACTAATAGTGTGTGTAAACAGCATGCCAAACATTTGAGGTTCCTTAGAAATCTAAATCTGCATCTTACTGTATTGTACACAATTACAGTACAAAAATTTACAGTAGTAATTAGAAAATACTTTTGAAAAAAGAATATGACTGGCTTTCAAACAAGCTGCTGTTTCATAATAAAAGGAATGTGAGTTTAATAGGATGCCAGTTTTCACCCATTACTTAAGATATGGTCTGAAAGTTTGAAAACCTATTGTCAAAACTAGAAAAGTAGGAAACACAGTTGGAGGGAATTTGGAATAAGGCTTTTATTGTTGCTGTTGGTTTGTTTTTGCGTTACTGGGGATTGAACCTAGGGCCTTCAGACTGAACTAACATACATCACCAGCCATTTTTATTTTTTTTTTTTATGAGACTCTAAGTCACTAAGTTGTCCCAGGCTGGCTTCAATCTGTGATCCTCCTCCCTCAGCCTCCAAGAGTGCTAGGATTATAAGCATGTGACACCATGCCCCCTGCAGTTATTCTTTGAAAAGCTATTATACCTGCACTGATTGAGAAGATTGTATATATGTGTATGTGTGTGTGTGTGTGTATAAAATAGTTAAATAAGAAAGAAATTATAACAAGTTACTTGTGTATAAAAATAAATAGGTAGTAGTGGATATATACATTTAATAGTAAATGCAGAACATATCTCTTGAAAAATACAGTGGTTCCCTCTGCGAATAACTGAGGTACTCTGGGAGTCCAGCATAGGAAGATTTTCAGTGTATAAATTTATTGGAGGGGCTGGGGATTTAGCTCAGCGACAAAGCGCTTGCCTGGCAAGCGCAAGGTCGTGAGTTCGGTTCCCGGTACCGGAGAAAAACCCAAAAAAAAAAAAAATAAATAAATAAATAAATAAATAAATTTATTGGATTTTGTTTGTGCATGTATTTACCATTTCAAACAATAAAATTTTTTTTTAAGGTTATACATTAGAAACATATACATTACAACATGATGAGGAGATTGTAATTTTGAAATGACAGAGATTTAAGGCCCAAGCTGACGCTCACTGGTTATATAATTTGCACACCCCAGCCTGTGCAATACCTGTCCCAGGTATGAGAAGACACATGAAAGGATGTGCTACTAATTGCTTGTTTCACTCTTCTGTACTAAGAGCTACTCAAACTCTGAATGTCTGCAAAGTAGAACGAATCCCAATTTGCTCTGTCCCCACCCCCATGAATAATAAGAAGCGGCCACTCACAAGTTTGCTAGATTTGGATAGGTTGCTATTTATGTATAAAAAGGCAATTTGTATTCAGAAAATAAGTTCCACATACTACAAATCTGCTTTTAAAGGAAGAGACAGAAAAAATGACAGAAATAGGCACAAACTGCAGAGTAACCCTAGAAAGGCGCACTGGAGACTTAATCCTGATTTCTGTATCAAGTGTGTTGAGAATGTCAAGCCCCATCTTGCTTCTGCAGTAAATCCTTTCATAACACATGAATTCACCAGCTGTTGGAGCTCTCTCAGTGGCATTCTTTCCTTGTGGGGTAGGCAAGTGGCTCTTTCCATTTGCTATCTCCTTATGAATGTGTATATATAAAGTAATAACCTCACAGACATATAATGTGTGTCCGGTTATATTTAGGGGAGTGTCTCCAGTTTGGTATGTGTGATCACATTCCTTTCTTTCTTCCTGTCTTGCCAAATAGCACTCAAGACTGCAATAAATTCCTGGGATTTACAGTGCCAGATCGGCTCCTTTAAAACTGAGTTTTGTGGAAGCAACTAACTAAAAAGATTGATGACTGATCTAGACTTAAGTTAGAGCTGGGAATGTTTTAAGAACTTTGTCAGAAAAATCGATGATAGATTGAAGAGGACTCCTCGGGAGTATACCATTTATGGCTCCTGAGGCATTTCCAGGTGATTTGCTTCAGATAGGATTCTTAGGGGAGAAAAACACATCTTCCCATTTGTGTTTGAATTACTAACATCAGGGCTGAATATTGTGTTAGGATTTGTAGATTACAGAATTGAACTAGTGGTAGGTTACCTTTCTGGCTTCATGTAAAACATGATAAGCAGAAGTTAGGCAATAAAGGAATGAGAACCACTTCTTCCTGAAACATACAAGACTACACCCAAGAACTTACTAGAGAAAGTAATTTTTCAGAAGCAGTTTAAGTTCATGCGACATCTCTTTATACTGTGAATAAGGGTTGAATAAGGTTTTTACTCAAAGTGTGCTGTTCCACAAGCACTGATGGTTTTATGAAGGCCTGCAGCAACCATATCCTAGAAGGTGAATTCTTCTTCCAGAGACTTCATGCCTGAGTATGTTAAGATTGAACCAAAGAATTACAGGTGCTAGCTGATATTATAAGCAATAGCTGGTGCAAATTTCTGGAACACAAAAGATTTTAGGCACTCCGTTGCTGTGAACTTACTACAATAAGCAGAGACCTGTAAATACTAGGTGCTATAATGGTTACTTAGGTGTTCATAAAAAAAAAGTTCTCTTATCCTGCAGCATTTATGCAGTAAAATAAGCAGCTTATTTTGGTGATCTTCTTGTCACACCTTCTCCCCTGTCTGTGCAGGTGGACCATACCATAATAATGTACTTGCTTGGACCCGATGGTGAGTTTGTAGACTACTTTGGCCAGAACAAGAGGAATGGAGAAATAGCTGGCTCCATCGCTGCGCACATGCGGGCTCACATGAAGGCACATGTGAAGAAGAGCTAACCAGAGCCGCCTTGCTGGTACAGTGGTCTCTTGCCAAAGAGGATGGAAGCTTCATCTCCCATAAGAGCTGATATATATCATGCAACGTAAAGAACGGCCTTCCTACCATGAGCACATGTGTATTTTAGACAAGATACTACCCTATCTTGGTTCAGCCAAGATTCTTGGAACTCTGCAGATTGCATCCAGTCTTCTAAGTAGCCACCGTGAGTCCAGAGGACCAAGTTAAAGTGAGGCCAGTAGAGAGTGTACCTCACCGCACCACAGCAGGGAAAGGCTTGTGGTCCAGGTCTTCCTGGGAACAGGGCCCTCTGAGCAGCATTGCATCTTGTCAGAGGCTTGGGCCCTTGCTTATACAGTTTGTAAAGCTGAATTTTACAGAAAAGAATGTAATTTCCACAGTGCTCTTGCCTTCCTCATCTTGAGTTCTTTGTGGCTAATAACCATCGACCATCTGCTATTCAAAGTTAATCTCTATATTTGAAAGCAAAAGTTTAGTCTTCCTTGACAACCAGCATCACTGTCCAGTTGCATTTCATTCCCCCATCAGCAGATGTGGATTGGACCAGTAAAGAGGAAGAATTATTGTTTGGAGAAAAACATTAGTTTGATTCCTCTATGAATCGTTTTGTGTTTTTTTTGTTTTTTGTTTTTTTAGCTGAATGATCTGCCAGCTTTTCAGTGATGTACCAAATGAAAATAAGAGAACTGATCATGAAAATATGCAGCAGAATATTTTTCTGTATTTACCAGATTGTACTCCATGTAAAGTAAAGGTGTGTTCAGATTTGCAGCTTGGACAAGCATGACTTCTCTCCTGGCAAAGAGTGGGTGTGGAGATGGCAGTCCATAGCACACAACACAGAGACCCACAGACTCATGTGGATGGGCAGATGGGTACTCACTACATACAGACTGCCAGGCCCAGAGCTGCCCAGTCTTGGGTAAGATTCAGAGACCTGCATTCCAGACTGGTATCTATGGCGACTCGGGTGCTGGTGATCTGGGGATCGCTCCTGGAAAAACTTTCATGGAGAAATAACTTGAGCCACCCTTTGGTGTGTCAGTCAACTGTTCAAAAAAAATGATTGGCACACAACAGAATGGATTTTTCTAAGTTTTACTTTGCTAGGTTTGACTAGTTTACCTGGGTTTCACTATCACCTTTTTTCCACTTGAAGAAGGTCTCCTAAAGTCTCAGTAAGTCCTAAAATGCAACCAACTAAAAGACCTATTTGGAAAATGGATTGTTTTTGCACATCAGTTATATTTTCACATGCACATTATATAGGCCTCTTTTGCTTTTTAGATTCTCAACACTTAAATGTTAATACACTGGTACCTCAGTTCACAAACTTAATTAGGCCCACAATTCTGGGGAAAATGCCCATGTTCGTGTTCATGAAAGAAAGATGGCCATGATTGTGTTTGTCACCTAATGGCAGAGTTCACAAACAGAAACAAAATTTTGCCAAATGCTTGTTTTTGAACCAAATTATTCATAAACAAGTGTACTTATGAACCAAAGTGCCACTGTATGTGTATTAAAGAGAAGAGAAAAACCTAAAGCTGAATCATGTCTCCATAATTCTTATGTCAAACTCCTAACTCCAGTATATGGCTATATTTGGATATAAAGTGTGTAAGGAGCTAAGTAAATTAAAATGGAGCCCTTACGATAGGCCCTTCCCAAGCCAGTATTACTGATGTCAGGAGAATAAGAAAACAAACACAATGAGAGGACCACATGAAAACAGATCCACAGGTCTCGAGAAGCCTTCAGAAAAACCAACTCAGCTGTCACCTTGACCTTGGACTTACAAGCTCCAGAACCTTGAGAAAATAAATGTTCTATAAACCACTGTCTGCAATGTATTGTTAAGGCAGCCCTAGCAAACCAATATAATATTCCTTAAACAACTGTAAGATTCAGTTCACCCTGTAAGTAGCTGGTTTGTAACAGCTTTCTCAGGAACCTTATCAAGAAAGTAAGGAACTTAATAAAGGACTAGTTTCGTCTGACAAGAAGGATTAAAGGTCTAAAATGTCAAACATTATAAAAGCTGGTCTGTTTTAAGCCGCACATTTGTGTGGATCACTTAGCAGCAAGTTTGCTCTCGGATAAAATGCAGTCTTCATTCTCAGCTGTTGCAGGTTGGAGCTTGTGTAATGGTCCAGAAAGGGAACGGCAGCTTTTTAAGAAATGTCTCTTGCTCTTCATTCCAGTGCCAAGCTTAAAGGCTTAGAGGGAGGGCTGGGGCCTCCAAAAAAGGTCCTTCCATGGAGAGACACGCCTAGATTATTGGTGTAAAACCTGAGTCTCGATTTCTGTTCTGGTCCCTGCTCTTTGCTCTGCTATGGGATTTCTGTGGGTGACCGTGTGAACCCATTCATATCTGGGGCTTCCATGGGACAGGGACAACCTTGTGACTGTGTCCTGGGAAGTCAGTCAGGTCGGCCATTCGGTCAAATGTCACAGATCTGAATAGGTTAGAGTTTTTACTTCAATGGAATTAATATTTTAAATGCTATTTGTTTGAAAGTTGTAAGAATCCTCAGTGCAAGAGGCATCAAAGCCATGCAAGTGGCTGTTGACGGAGCAGCTGATGCTGTGGGTTCAAGAGATTTACTGGATACCAGTAAAACACCCACCTGAGTTAGGAGGCTAACAGGAACCCAATGGAATGACTTGAAATTATAAGTGCATCTGCATATGTTCTTAAATCTCTTGTTATATTTTTAAATATAAGGTTAAGAAATTAATACTTGAACCGCAATCTCCAAAACAACTGTTTTCTTTTTTTACCTCTTGCACAATTTCAATGTGTATGTGTGTGGAAGTGAGTCCTCTTTAAAAAGTCACTTACGAAGCATTTTTCATCCATTCAGTTATACTTCATATTGGTGAGTTATATTCTTATTTATGAATTATTTTATGATGCTAAGGGTGCTTATTCCTGTTATTAATGAATTGTAAAAACTTGTTTAGTCAGGTCTTCCTAATAACACTTCTTTATTTTCTGTTTATCTTTAAGATGTATTTTAAAGATTGTGCATTCTTCAACAATTATAGCATCCTCTATAGAAAAATTTTGGAGCATACAGAAAGTTGAAGGAAAAAAATTTAAATCACCACTGTTCCCCTCCCAGGAAACAATATTTAGATACATTTCAGCTCTCAGCATTTCTAAATTGTGTACTGGACCAGAAAGTCACAAACGCATTTCCTGAAGAAAAAAATTAAACGTGACAGGTTGAGCCCAAGTCCCTTGTCTCCCCTGTCCCAGACCCCCACTCCGAAGGAACTGCTGTTTGGTGTTTCGTGGGTCTCCTCACGGAGCATTCCCCAGTCTGTGGTATTGTGTTACTAGCAACAGAGAACAGATTAAGACAGAGTTCCTTCAGGAGGTGACTACTGGCAAAACAGACTGGTGAGGACATGGGGGTTCTTGCAGGCAGAAGCTGCAGGCAGTGCAAAGCCCACACAGCAGTGTGCTTGGGGTGCGCGCTCCAGGAACATCGGGGACGCCAGCCTGATGTGATAGAGCACAGCGAGTCAGGGAGAGCTCCGGGATGAGGTCAGAGAAGTGGCCCTAGCCGCCTTCCACAGGGCTCTGTGGTTTGTGGCAGGAACTTCAGGTCTCTTAAGTGTTGAGGGAAGCCTGAGCAAGAGCCAGAGCCTGACCTCCACTGGCCCCAGGACTCCTCCTTAGGTCACTGGGAGGTTGAGCATGCTGATGTCAGTAACCCCAACCCCATTATACAGTTTTGTGGGAACCTTTATGTGCATACTTAATTGGAGCAGAATTAGAAATTTCTTTTCTCTGTACTGTGGAAATTTTCCAACATATTCAAAGAGTAGAAGAGTCTACTCACTGTTCATTAGAATTCGATGCACTAAGCTTCAGTATTTACTAGCCCAGTGGCTGATCTTTGTCATTTACACCTCTGCCTGCTCCCAGCCCTGTTCTAGCCAACTCTGACTTAAAAACATAACTGCAGTCCCATTATCGTGCAGGAAAACCCGTTTGGGCATGGCGGGGGGGTGTTGTTTGTTTTTATTTTGTTTAAAATCAAATAGAAGTTGGCTTTATTATCTGGTCTTTTGCATTCCAGGAGCCATGACACTTTGCCATTAAGGTGTGTGTTCTGTCCATGTTTGTACAATACTTTATGTCCATATTTGCTCCCATTGCAAGGACCTGGGGTGGGGGGAATGACAGACAATCTCCCAACCTCCTGTTTCATTCTCAAGTGTAGGGATGGTAATAATCAGGTTGACCAGATTAGAAAGACCAACCTACTTGTGTTTAATTTGTAAAACAAAGAATTGTTTCAGGAGGAAGTAAAATGCTAGAACAGGAAAGACCATTGTATGGGGATTAAAGTCAGAATTGTGCTTTGCTCTGGCAGGAATCTGGATGGTTACTGATTGAAAAGGGTGCAAGGGAGTCTTCTAGAGTGATGGAAATGTTCTGTAGCTTAATCTACATGACTTGCATATCTAAAAGTCAAACTGTAAACTTAAGATTATCATTATTTGTCTTTTTGAGCCGGTGTCTCAGTTCAGGCCAGCCTTGAGCTCACTTTGTTGCCCAGGCTAGTCTTGAACTTGCAAGGATCCTCCTCCCTCAGCCTCCCGAGTGCTAGGATGACAGGCGTGCACCACCACACCCTGCAGTAAATTTAAGATTTATGCATCTCATTTTAAACAGTCTATACCTCCAAAAATGGGAAGAGTTCCTGTGAACGACAGCCTTGAAAGAACACAGGTCTGTGATGTGTGGAGGCAGTGATACACTCACCAGCCTGCTTTAGATAGAGTGATAACAAGCTAATGCCAAAAGCAGGATACTCAGTAAGAAAGAGACTGAGAGGAATTGCATAGAAGGTAGGACTCTGCAAACTTTAACCAAGCCAGCAGAATGAGAGGCAGAGAGGTAGACAATCTCCCAACCTCCTGTTTTAGATAAACAGAGTGATAACAAGCTAATGCCAAAAGCAGGATACTCAGTAAGAAAGAGACTGAGAAGAATTGCATAGAAGGTAGGACTCTGCAAACTTTAACCAAGCCAGCGGAATGAGAGGCAGAGAGGCTGGGTGTGATGTGGGCAGTCAGGGCAGGTATGACTGAAGCACAGTATGCACTGTCTTTCTTATCCCACTTAAAGGTACAGGAAATCAGCAGTTCCAGTAGTCCCACCTCAGGCAGCAGACAGCGGCTAACTAGTACAGCTTTGAGAGGTAGAGAAGTTTGCGCAGAGGCATTTCAAGGCTTCCAGGGCCCCAGGAAACTAAGCAGGAACAAACGGAAGAGAGCAAGCACCTTTCTCACTGGCTGCTGGACTGAGTAGCTGCTGCTAATTGTCAGTCAAGCTGTGAGACCCCTCCAGTGACTCTTGTGCCTTTTGAGTCCCTTCTGGTGTAAGCCAGAAAACTGCCCTTACACTTGGGCCATCCGAAGGATTCCTTGGCGGGTGTGCAGTTGGCAGACCGTGAGCCGTTCTGCATTTGGTGAGGGTAAAATGCCAAGGCTGCACTTTGCAGATGCAAGTGTGAGTCTCCTGGTCCTACAGAGAAAGTGCACTTAGCCTTAGCCCCACATGGTCTGGGCACAGAGGTTGACCTAGAGGTCGTTCTGCCATTCCAGTATTAGGGCTGCCTGGAACCAGCTAGTGTGCCCTTATTGTGTGGAGGGAAAGGGCCACATAGGACTACTCTGCAAGTTTAGGGAAGTTGGTATTAGAATTTCCTCTACAGTCTGGGTCGACCTGCTTGGTCACTTAACTGGGATGCGCAGTCTTTGGCTCCATTCCAGATGTCCCTGAGGTAGAATAAGAAACAGGCAGTAAGGAGATAAGAAAATCTGTATGTATGTAGTTCTGGGGATCAAACCCAGGGGTGTTCTGCCACTGAGCTATATACCCACCCCCTTTTTTTTTTTTAAATGGATTTTACATTATTGTATTTCTTTTTCGGTACCAGGAATTGAACTCGGGACGTTGCACTTGCCAGGCAGGCGCTTATGCCGCTGAGCTATGTCCTCAGCCCCATCCCCCCTTTTCTTTTTTAAAACTTTTTACTTTTTTGTAAACAGGGTCTTACTAACTTGCCCAGGTGGGTCTTCAAGTTGTGATTCCTCTGCCTCAGCTTCCCAGCGTGCTATGATTATAGGCATGTGCCACCATTTCCAGCTGAAAACCATACATAAATTGTATTTTTTAAGAAAAAACTGTAGCTTCAAGACACAAAAGTTACCCAGGTTTACAAAGCTTTTTCCCTTCCAGGAAACACAATCCAATATTTTTATCCCTAAGGGTCTTAAAGACACAATTGGGGCCTGTGCCTTTAACCTGTAAACTGCTCCTCCTGCCACAAACCGCCATGCTCAAGGAAGCAGCACCATTAAGTGGGCAGCAGATCTCCTAGTTTGAAACACATGCAGATGGCTTGCATTCTAACCTAATCCACCAAGTGGGTGGCCCGACTAGATCAGCCATTTTGAAGATGTTCTCAAGCGTTTGTTAATGGTGTGTGGGGAAGCATCCCAAGATGGAGACTGTGTGAA